ATTTTTAATATTATCCTCCTATAATTTAGTACTGTGGGCTAATTTAAAACATTAGTAGGCCTGAAATCTTAGCAATTGGCTAATGAAAACTCCTTAACATCTCTCCCTGAATATTTAAGCAAGAACATAGTTCCATTACATTCTGATAGAGGGAATGATTTATTGATAAGGCGTAGGTCCCATAGAAAATCAGATCAAGGTTTGTGCACGGTGCATACCGCATTCTAGCACTAAATCCGCGAGTGCCGTGTGGACGACCCCACAGTACGCGTGTTCATTACAGCAAAAACAAAAAGACAGGAAACTGCTCATTGGATACTGGGTTCTATTTCCTCTGCGTTTACCGGATAAAAATGGAACTTAACAACCACTCCCTCCATACATCTTTAAGTTATTGTGCTGAAGCATAGGCACAATTTTAAAGTCAACTTATTATCTTGAAGATAAAAAAACTATTTAATTCGTTCCCATGCATAAACGCTACACATTAGACCTCGTATTTAACTCAGTTCTGGGCTGACAAGCTGTTGGTGGGCACACATTGAAAGACGCCACGCTGTATTTTATTGACCATGATGAGTGTGGCGACCTCAGGCTGAGGACACCCAACAAATGAGGGTCTCTAAATTATTAATGCCGCCTAAGCAACGAAGTTCAGAGGTCCCCTGCAACGACTACAGCTCATGCTAGTAGCAAGAGAAGAAGCAGGGTTGGTATCCTAATACAGCTGATATGCAAGTAAAGCGACAGTTGTTGACAGCCAACTTAATAGGAATATACAAAAGGTTTTAAATTACTACAGGAAAAATATTAATTATATTGAACGACTCCAAATATCTATGAATAAGAATGAAGCTTAATTACATTAACCAAAGAAGTAAGAACTGATTATTGCAACCAAAAAAAAGTGCCTTTTTTATTCTGGGCTGTGACGCTGTGTACGTAGACATCAGCACATCGACGTTTCGAAGACACGTTTTTTTTTTTTAGTGTTCTGTCTGACGACAGGTCCATATGAACAGGATCCTTCCATCCTTTTCTCGGACTGGGACCTGTTCATATACGTTCTTGGCAGATGATCCAGAAGTGGTTTGCCATTGCCTTCTTCTGTGTGTGAATGGGGTAATTGTTGGGATGCCACGGAGAAACCGGGGAAGCCCCAGGAGGAAAACTCCGTGTTGCCTAGACCACGGCCTTGCCCAACACAAGTTATAAATTCGGGCACCGCCGGGAATCGAACCCGAGACCCCAGGATTACAAGGCCAGCGTTCTAACCGCTAGACCCAACTGAAGAAACACAATATAACGAAAATCCCAATCTTATTGTTGAATTGCTATTAATATTCTTTTAAGTAATTAATGAATACAGGTTATATCCATAACACAGCTGCAGCCTGAGATAAAATAGTGTAAAACTTAAAAGAAAAATTATTTTCAAACAAAAAAATAAAAAACGCGACTGAGTAAAATCACTTTCTATATCATGCAACCTCATCTCAGCAGCCGCGAAGAAGTCTTACCTCTGTGCCACTATTAGTGCCTCAACCTCACCTCCATACCCTCAACAATCTTTAGAAGATTCTAAACCTCATATCTGAACCTTCAATTGATTCTGGGTCTTACCCCTTATATTCAGGGGATTCCAGACATCACCACCTTTGTACTTTCAACGGATTATAGACCTCATATCTATATATTAAACGGATTCTAGACTCCATGTTCTTACATTAAACGTATTATAGACCTCACCTCAGTGGCATCTGTTCTGAGTAATAAAAGAAATCAAATCACTTTAAAAAATAATGAAGACTTCAAGACTTTATAGCCTTCTTAAAAGTAAAAACCAAAATATGGTTGTAAAAACGAAACACAAACACGTCAATTTAACCAAATTACGTCACGGCTATTCCGAGAGAAAATAATTTAATAAAACTTGAATATATAATTGCCATTGTGAACAAGCAGTCAGAGGGGGGGTTATTATTCATCACAATGGACTCTATATCAATTCCAATTCTATTAGAGTCATTGTCTGGGATCGGAGCTTTTCAAGGCACACACATACACACATAAACTTAGATAGTGCTAATGTGGCATAAGTATCCATCAAGTGATCACCTTAATATTTGAAGTAAATTACACAGAACGTTCTCAGCGAGGTCAGGTTCTCGCGAGGACTCGCTTGAAGATGACCGTCTTTTGAGGTGTTGAGACGTGTAGACTTGTAGAAGTTCGCCGACGTTTCAGTTGATGACGAAGGCAACAAGAAACGTCGTTGAACTTCTACAAGAATTACACGTCTCAACATCCCAAAAGACGGCCACCTTCGAAGATCTCAGTTTCGATCGTTTCTTAAATTTTCTCCTCAGAAAGAAATACTGAACGGTCGTAGAAGAACACGCGCGGGAAGTCTATAAGACTAAATTTCTCATTTTCCCCGATGACTGGAGGAAAATATCCATGGCTGAAGATAGACTATTTTAAAAGAAAACGGACATTCTGACATAAAATAAAACCTAACAGTTTTCCTTTGACATTAAGACTATGAGACCTATCAACTTCGAAACGCTTTGTTGTAGAATGTAACCACGGAATTAAATTTGTAAACACGGAGCACGCCTAATCTCGCCATCAGATACTAGTACATGTATCTGTGTTGTCCGAACAGCGATAAGAAGGAATGGTCAGTGGAAGACCACCACGCTTACAGAAGAAGCTTCTGTGATGGCCCCATGTGTAGCTGCAGCCCACCACCGATTGTCACGAGCTGCAAAGTAGTCAACGATTATGTTTGCTACCTGAGGCGCCGCAAGTGGCAAATATTGGAACCATTGTTACACGACCACACAATAAGCCCATTCTGTGTATAAATCCTGTGGGCTTATTTTCAATCGTTACCATATACGGAGACAAATAATATATTAACTGTAACCTCATTTGGTATTGAATTCTGAAGTTAAGTTTATACATGGATTATTCATACAGTTATTTTTTAAACAGAGTGGTTCTTGTGAAGAAATCAAGAGGACACCTATATATTAGGAGTTGGGATGATTTGTTAGCCAACTTTTCTCATTTTATACTAGCACAGAGCCTGCAGAGTTACTGCGGCGAAATTCGACAATACTTACATATCATACCAATCTTTACTGACCGAAATTTTTCAGGCGTGATCATTAGATACGAATAGCTGAAAGACAAACCTGATTCTTCCCAAATGCAACTCAGATGTCTCCATGACATTAACCTTTCGTTGACAGTTCAGTGCGTGTTTAATTTGTGATGAAGAAAGTGATTCTGAGACAGTGTCTTACTCTGAACAGTATCAGTTACCACTGCCTCGCATTCATCAAAGTCCGCGCGGTGTACGAAAGGCCGGATCAGCCGGCAACACATCACAACGTCAGTCCTTATTTGGAGCTTCGCATTTTACCCTCTATTTGACATTAACCTGACTAAGAATGTTTAGTTTTTATCAGATAGATCGATCGAGAAGACCCACTACGATGTTATTTATAGGGACGCATTTAAAAAAACTGAGGTGTAGATATAAGCTGATCTTAAGAAATATAAAATGAAGGTATAGATTGTATTAGAGTGGCTGAGGATGGCTCCCAGTGTTTGTGTTGTGAAAATCTGTAATAAACTATTGGAAATTTTACAGGCGTGATCATTAGATACGAATAGCTGAAAGACAAACCTAATTCTTCCCAAATGCAACTCGGACGTCTCCATGGCATTAACTTTTCGTTGACAGTTCAATGCGTGTTTAATTTGTGATGAAGAAAGTGATTCTGAGGCAGTGTCTTACTCTGGACAGTATCAGTTACCACTGCCTCGCATTCATCACAGTCCGCGCGGTGTACGAAAGGCCGGATCAGCCGGCAACACATCACAACGTCAGTCCTTATTTGGAGCTTCGCATGTTACCCTCTATTTGACATTAACCTGACTAAGAATGTTTAGTTTTTATCAGATAGATCGATCGAGAAGACCCACTACGATGTTATTTATAGGGACGCATTTAAAAAAACTGAGGTGTAGATATAATCTGATCTTAAGAAATAGAAAATGAAGGTATAGATTGGATTAGAGTGGCTGAGGATGGCTCCCAGTGTTTGTGTTGTGAAAATCTGTAATAAACTATTGCGTTCTATAGATATTGGGGAATATCGTTATCAGCTGAGCGACTATTAAACTATGAACAAGGATCCTATAAAGGAAATTAGCCTTAAACATCATTTTGCATAACGTAAATTCATATATCTGTAGGCTTACCGTATTCTTTAAATTAATGTTGGCTCCAAAATGTTTCATTTGAATTTTTTCATATGAATATCACATTTCTCATGGTATTCCACACACGACATAGCGGATTTGAATCCACAAATCCCCTAGATATAAGACCCTTGACGTAACATTTTCAGCTCTTGTACTTTTAAGCTTCGAATAAGAATTTAATATTCCTAGCAGACTTATTCCCCACATATTGCTAATAACAACGCCGTGACCAAAACTTCGTATGTTCATAAAAAGGATGGAAAGTTTTCGGACCGAGCAGTCAGGGCTTATTTTTTTATTATTATTAGTGTTCTGTCTGACGACAGGTCCATATATTATGAACATGATCCTTCCATCCTCTTCAGGTTGTCAGGCCGTCGTTTTAATAAAGTCTAAATGGATCTGAAACTGCAATGAAGATACGTATATTAAAAATGGGGAAGGATTTGATTGTGTGGGGAAACTTAAACGGTAACATGGAATTTAATTTAAACTTGATACATAAAAGCGAAATTTTCCTTTTAATATACTTAGAAATGAAACAGATAACTGAAGGAAATAAGAAGGCAAAACACGAAGAAAAGAAAAGCTACTTGAGAAAGAGATGGAAGTGAATGAATTATAATACTGTTTCTTTAAACCATCACATGTGCGCAGGTGCGCCATGATTGTGTCGTCACACTCACGACGCTTTCCGATTGGTTGAGCTACTGAGAGCGCGTAGCTGCCGAGCTGGTAAGATGGTTGGAAGAGATCGGACACCCACAGCCATTCCTTCTGCGCATTGCAAGCAAGGCGGTCGGAGTTATGCAGGGCTCGAATTGGCAACTTTAACGTGCGTGTGACTTTTCGTGTGCCACAGAAAATTAAACCAGTTTTCAATTGCAGTTCTGCGAGACATCAGTTGTGAAAATATTACAGTAGCAATTAAAACATATTTTTAGAAAATAGTGACATACGTGTATGTGTGTAAAAATTTACACGAGCTAAGGTGTTGAGATTAATTCTGGCGTAGCCTGTATTTAATTCAGTACTGAATTACAACACGGTACTTACAGGTACCAATTACAAGCTGTCAGGATCTTAAAACTGTACTGTTCATTAACCTTGAAAAGAACGGAAATTAAGTGTTAATACCGAACAATAGTGTCATTTTAATTATATTTTTGTGTTTTAAAATCAGTGAAAGTGTATTGAACGTACACTTATTGGCCAGAAAGTTCACGGATGATAAAATACTTTATAATATTCGTGTGGATACCAATAAATTATGGATACTTAATAAAACACAGACTTCGTTAAAACACAATTGCTAAAAACAGAAACAATGAAAGAACGTACAGCGTGTATGATGGACGAACATGACTGCTCCTCAGAGGTTAGTATACTCATAGAATATGCTTCAATAATTAATTAAATGCCATATATTAATAATCTCTCTTTTCACTGTTTAGAAGCTTCATAGTTTGCTACTGTATATAAATGACGTTATACAATTATAAAATCAATAATTTTAATAAATAAACTGATACTGAAGAACTTCCTATAGCAGTGTCCTAATTGAGAAGCTAACAGTCGCACAGTTAGACAAGAGTTTCATTGTATTTTATTTAACTCAAACATTAATTACCGTATCCATATTCTAAACCAGGCTAATTCAGGTCAAACTATCTAAAGCTATTTATTTTAAGATATACGTTAATATTATCCTTCCATCTACGTCTAGGTCTTTCAAGTTGTCTTGGTCTCCTACTTTCAGGCTGTCGGATCAAAATCGTGCGCGCATTTATGAGCATTCCCACACATGCTACATGTCCCGCTTTGAAATTTTATTACGTAATTAAATTTTAAAATAGTTTTACAGACTGACACACGATTTCACGTCCCTGTGTCATGTGATGTTTTTCTTAATATATACGTGTGTTCCTAAAATGGCTTATGGGTACTGCCTCTCCATCTGTATTACGTCAACTTGGTCGCGCGATCCTCTTGTTAATGTATGGTTAATAACTCTAGCCCTCTGTTATCGGAACTCAGAATATCAGATGATATAGGCGATACGCCAGTATCAGAATATCGAAAAACATGTACATCGATACAAACTGCCCGTTCCTACTTCCAAATATCAAAAAGAGAAACGTAAAAGAAAATATAGATTTTCTTTTTTCGTGGGAGCCCCCTTTTGAACAAACTGGCACTTAGCAGTTTCGAAGGTACGAATATTATCAACATGCCACTGATCACTGTTTCACAAACGACACAAATATTTCCCTTTACGACGATATGAGATTTAAAAACCCCGCCGAAACAAAGCGCACGTCTTTACAGCCGGTGGGAAGTACGAGGGAATCAGTTTCTTCCGTGCCTTTCTGCAAAGATTCCGCCATAAACCTACGTTTCCTAAAACAAGATATCGGGGGCCAGATCAGTAGTGTTCATTTGCAAAACATCACTCTCGATCAATCGTTCCTACAACTGAGGTGAATCGATCCCCTGCTGTCTAGCCCCCAGCTGTACCGCCTCACACCGCAGTAGAATCTATGATCTTAGAGAAATAGATCGCTTTGATGAAGGTAGTTTTGATTGAATCGGGATAGGATATAATAGCAGGCTTTTGTTGCGTTGATGACACTACCAGTCATTTAGCCTTAGTTTAACACTAACACGCCTGTAATAAATACGTCTCCAATTAGACAGGAAACTTTGGTTCAAATAAACCTAAAATATATGGAATGTATTCTTCCTGTTAACATTTAGTTACAAAGGAACACTTGATTATGTATCAACGTAAATTATTTGCTTTACTAATTGGTTCTGAAAATATTCCATAGTCGAAAATAAATTTCTGGACAACAGGGGTAGATAAGTGTGTGTTTCAAACACGCTTTTTAATGTTTTATTCCTCGTTGGCGTTGATGTCGACTATATCAGACATATCAAACATAATCGCGTTTTTACAGTCAATAGACATTTTTCCTTGCTTACATCGTATTTCAAAACGTTTGAAATAGAAATTACGTGTCTGAATGCGATTTACAAGTCATGCTACGTACTACTGTTTCAGTCACTCACGTTAGAAAAGATTCTATAAGATGCCTAATGGTATCGGCACTTATAGAACAAAACATTCAGCCGTCTAACGTTGTTAATGAGAACCTGTAAACTTATGTGAACGCAAACAGACTTTAAGCTCCTTTAAGCTGCAAAAGCGGATAATATGCCTCAATAACTGATGGTTCTGGAGAAACGCATTAATAATTTAATACGAATTACATCGATTCGTCAAACTTTGTCACCAGTGATGTAAGTTATACTGGGTGCACACTTTATCTGTTCACGTGTATTAGTTTAGAACCTTTGTGATCTGAGCCAGCTGTCACCTTCAAGGCCGTGTCCCCATGCCCACCGTATTGTTAATAATTAACCCTTTAAACGACCTGGAGGTATTTAAATTCCACACAGGCTAATTAAATTTGCATGCATGTAAGCTGCTTCGCTCTCTACCTGGGTGAATAAGGAATACTGCTTTTCTGAGTATCGTTAACAGTTTTGCATTGCAAATACAATGCACAGTATCGGCTCTGCCCTAATAAACTACAGATCTGTATTCAAATTAGTGTTCTCGTTTCAGAATACTTTGTAATTTCACTTCCTACTTAAGCGAATTGTGGCTTAGGCGTGTGGACTTTGTTGTAAGGCATTTATTAATTATGTACGAAACTGTATGTTGACTAAGTTGGATCATATCTGTAAGTGCGCCATCGTTACGTAAACCAGTGCTTCGCACCCAGTAATAGGACTTCTGTTTTAAGTGGTGACCAACGACTGACTTCATACTTACATGTTCATTGCCCGAGAAGACATCAACTACATTCAGTTTCCGCCAAAGCTTAAAATATTATATAACAACTCCCGTTCGAGCACAGAATGGTCATTATATTTTATTTGCGAGTTTAAATAATTCATAGTTGTGTACAAGATTCCGTTAAAATGGAGAATTCCTTACGAAACTGTCTGTCCGTCCATCCGACCATGTGTGTTGTCTCATCCTTTGTCTTCTAATGTCTTTGACGGATGAACATGGCAATGAGCTCACCGATTTCTTGAAAGACGGGGAATTTTTTGGCCATCTGAGCGACTATCAGGACTCCCTCCCAAGCGAATTAACTCTATGAGTTTATAATATTTATGGGCTCTGAAAGTGTACATTATTTGTTGATGCTAATATTTGTAATAAAAGTAGAAGTAGGTTGGATCCAAACCCTGTGCCTGGAACAGAAATCACCACCGTCGTCTGATATCTGCAGGATATTATACGGTCTGCATTTTAGAAGTTACATTCAAGGCGAAACTAATTCTGGTATAATTCTTGAGTCGCCTACCAAACTTTAATATTATAACTGAACTGTATCAAATCTGTAAAAAGTAATGCTACACGACTTTTTTTTTAATTTATATGAACAGATTTATGCTGAATTTTCAACGGATATTAGGTCTACAATGCTGTAGAAAACTGAAACTGAATCCTCTTATCACGAAATGCCGCAAATGAAAACTCTATTATAACTTACTAATATTATGTTTCATATCTCCCTTTGTTGGAAGAAAGCTGTTATTGATATGTTTAGGGAATGTTGTCTATGAGATTGGTTCTTACAGATTTTTATCACTTTTATATTAATATCAGTGGAAACAACTGAGATAAAACCCGGGGCATTCTTAATTACGGGCTCTTAATCGATTTGCGCAAAAAGTACGCAATATAATCTGTCAGTCCAATGAACAACCAATCACCTGAAGGCGTGAATAGATCCAACTTGTTCAACGTCATCCATATAAGATATAGGTACCTTATACAATTCGTTTTCAATGTGTGGTCAGGGGACCACTAGTGTTTTATGAGCTTAATCAGGCGGTCAGCAGAACAACTAAGTTTACAAAATAAAATAAGAAAGAGCATTAATAAAACATAAACAAGTAAAACAGAAGAGATAAGACTCTTTTAGCAGCATTAATAAAACATAAACAAATAAAACAGAAGAGATAAGACTCTTTTAGAACAAATTAAAGTACAGTAACAACCTCTTTGTTGTCATCTTCAGCACAATTCATTACAAAGACGCAGAAAAATCATTAAGTGTTCCTTCAAAAGCCCCGGAAATTTTTAGATGGTCCGAAAATCATTTTTGGAAACCTTTACCTTAGACAATGGTCAGTGTCAAATATAATATTGACAATGACTCAATTAATGTCCCAAGCCTTCAGGAGATCAAGGTGAAATTTGAGTTGTACTTCAGCGGATTTACAGTATATCTTAGGAGGTGAAGTGTGATTACTGTGGAAGGTACGAAGCGAGGAGGCGAAACAAATAACATGGGATATCTCTGGGAAATTCTTATTCGAGACCTCATTGATAGAAAAAGTACTCTTGAAATTTACCAGCAAAAGAAACTGTGCGAGAAGACAATCCGGCGAAGTGTACGAATCAACTGCGAAAATTAGAACGTCCAAGTTATAGATGTTATTAGCAAACTTATAGACTCAACTTCTCTATCGCCCTGTACTATTGTTACAATATTAAACTTGGCCGATCGGAACGACAGCAGTAGGAGTCTGGTTGGTACAGCTGTGGGCTGAGGAAGTGGAACACCACCTGTCACCAATATCCCGTCAGTGTTTTACAACGCCATCTGCCGCTTTCCTTCGGCCTGGCTTCACTTCGCTTAAAGGTGGGGGTCAAGACCCTTCAGCATTTAAATGACAGTGAAGAAGGTGGTTACAAAAGGGCACGTCCAAATGCGTCATAATAAATATATTTTCATTTCGAAAATCACTGACTACTGGCTTACGAAAGACCTAGGTACATAAAATATATCTCAAATATATTTTGTGAAGGTATAATTAACTTATTAACTGACCATTATACCATGCAGACGTATGGGGAGTTGAGTCATGGCTCCACGTATTCTTAATTTCTGCACTATATTCTTCTTCTTCTTTACCACGCCGTCTCTTTACAGGAGGTTGGCGACATATTATGAACAGGATCCTTCCATCCTTTTCTCGGACTGGGACCTGTTCATATACGTTCTTGGCAGATGATACAGAAGTGGTTTGCCATTGCCTTCTTCTGTGTGTGAATGGAGTAATTGTTGGGATGCCACGGAGAAACCGGGGAAGCCCCCGTGTTGCCTAGACCACGGCCTTGCCCAACACAAGTTATATATTCGGGCACCGCCGGGAATCGAACCCGAGACCCCAGGATTACACTGCACTATATATATATGACATTAATGAAAATACTAATTATTTGTAGTACAGTTCTTGCTTAGAAGGCAAACAGTCGCTCAGCCATTCAAGAAATTTCTGTCTACTGGACCGAATAATTAAATAAATCATATTTCAGCTTACAGAATAAATACATACTAATAAATTCCGCTTAATACGAGAAGGTCTTTTACTAACAAAAACGTGACACGCATCCTTGGTACAGGAGCATTATTCACAGGCCATCATCCCTGTCTGTATTTACAACAACTCTCGCAAAAAGAGGAATAATGGTAAGCGAGCGTCTCCTACGTTGCGAACGTGTTCATCTACACCGGCTGCATGTTTCTGGGTGCCTTCCCCCCCCCCCCACTTCCGTTTTAATGTAGACTGAAAAGAACGAGGCTGCAGTGCATTTTGAAAACCAGATGTGGAATTGAAGCAAATCCCTTGGTGATAAAACAGTCTCTGCTGTACTGCATCCTCTTGAGATTCCATGTGTCTGGCCGTCAGTCCATGTGCGCTGCAAAGCTTCCATTTCAGAGACGCAAAACAAAAAGGAAGGGACCCGAGTAAGATTGAGGTGTTTCTATAATGTAGGGTCCTTTATTTTTTTCGGGGGTGGGTCGAGGGAGCAAAAACCTGGCCTGTCTAGTCTGCTCTTTAAGAGCTTCTGGGATGAAGACCAAAATATCGTCTCCGTGGAACTACGACGGATGATTCATGGATCACACAAAAAACAAATGACAGACTGATAAATGATTTGGCTTGTGTATCCTGCTTACCGATATTTAACGTTACATTTATCGCAGTTTATTTGAAGACTATTTCGCAACTGCAAAGGCTATTGTTTATACGTTCATGAACGTCTCCGTATCTCTTTTTACGCTATATTATATAACTTTTGCATTTGAAACGGAGTCATTAAATAACATAATACTGGTTATAAGGACATGCATTTAGAACTACGAGACTTCCAGGTGGGTGCAGTATAAAGTATATTTTTTGTTGATCTCCTCTCCCTGTAACCACAGCCGGTAATTACGTTGACCACAAATTCCAGTCGTTAGTTTTGATGGGCCCAGATCGGTTTCAGTTCAACTGATGAAGGGGAGGTTCCAATGTGTCGTCTGGTTCGTAAGGTACGTGGTCCAGTGACCTGCACTGTTTCGTATTCGTATTGTTGCTTCTTGCTGTCTCACAAATTTGCTGCAAGGTTTGTTGAGCTGATGGTTATGAATAAGGAGTCTAGATTTGAGGTTTTCGCAGCGGTGAGTATGAAGATTTCTGTCTTCTGGGTTGTTGCGCCGTATAGTCTGGTCGATGTTTACCAACGTTTCAGAGGTCATACTGCCTCCGTCATCAGAGTATGAAGATTTATGTCTCCTGGGTTATTGCGCTGTGTAGTCTGGTCGATGTTAACCAACGTTTCAGAGGTCATACTGCCTCCATCATCAGAGTATGAAGATTTCTGTCTTCTGGGTTGTTGCGCTGTGTAGTCTGGTCGATGTTTACCTACGTTTCAGAGGTCATATTGCCTCCGACATCAGGGCGATCGCGAAATCTTCAATAAAGAGTCTGTTAGGATAGTAGTTGACATAAGTGGAGAGACTAAACTTAGGCATGGAGCCGAGTCCTTATTCCGAATGTGATAGTCGCTCAGGTAGTTAAAGAATTTCATGGAAACCTGATGTTCATTATCAGTTTACTACAGCCCAAAATTTTTCCTTGAATTCTACTAAAGAACATTATAATATCCAACACGTTTTTAGTCATGGCACACTCTACTCCTAAAACGGAATGTGAGAGGGGCTTACTCTAGACTCGGTTTATTGTGTACCTGATTTCGAAGAAATCAAGAGTTCAGGAAATCGAATACGAATTAATTACCATTCTAATGCTGGTCTAACACAATTTTATTATGCATTCATGTGTATGCACAATGTGCATGTAGAAGGATATGAGGTTCTCACGGCAGCGAATATGGGTTCCTGCGCCGTGTAGTCTGGCAGATTTTTACCTACATTTTAGATGTACGTGCTGCCTCCATCATCAGTGTGATTGCCCTACGTATTTAGTCGCTCCGAACAATTGATAACTTGTAATTTTCAATAACTTCCATGGTAAGACCGTACGGTCGGCGGTAATTTTCAGAATAGCCCAATCAGGTCCCTCCCCCATTCCGAGTAAAATTTATTGCCCAGTCGCGGGGCAGGCGGATGGGGTGAATTAATATACAATATATTCCCCCCGAAACGGTGGTACACAGTCAAAATGTTTCTTGGCACAACTCAGAAGATCTCAAACTGTACGGAATTTCTTGACTATCTAAATAATACCAAAGGAAGGTCCATGATATATAACGTGGAGTTTAATTATGTAGCTTAATTTCACAGATTCACCCGACCTATAAAATTGTATTGACAAAAGTTACAAGTCCTGCAACCACGAATTACTTGTCCAAAGAACTGGACAGGTTGAGCAGGTGATAGTCCTGGGGCAATCGCATCGATGAATCAATTCAGCGTTGATGAAACGCGGCGATAAAGATAATCACTTTGGTTTGAGTGGAACCTTCAATCTTAAGGAAATATCGACACAGCACTAGACACAAAATTCGTGTAACAACATGTCTAACGTAAGACTTATATGTTATATTCGCTAAAAGTAGGGTTAGGCATGAGTCAATTTCTTTCTTGTTTTTAGGCTGTACTATTTCACAGCCTCGCGTCTAAAGAAAACTGATGACTTACACAGATTGGACGATATCATTTAAATTCCTGTTGAATTAGTACGATGTGAGGGTGTCGACTGGATTCATCTGGCATCTGTATGATGGCTAATGTTGGCCTATTATGAAAACGTAATGAACCTGTAGGTTTCATGAAAGGCACAAAACTGTTTCCCTGTCTGAATGAGATTTTAGGTTCTTAAGACAGCGAGTATGAAGACGACATTCTTTTTCCTCTAAGATATGGCATCACATGTTATTTCATGGAAATTGTAGTGATTATTGTCTGTTACTCCCCATTACTACGTAACCGTGGTTATTTGTTTTGGTTGCAGCAGCTGGAAGACGCCTTCATGCAATGTGGGGACCTCCTGGACATCGTCGCACTAACTGAGGGTATACAAGATGGCCGCCTTGATATATACGGTAATTAGCTACAGCAGCCTTCCACTTTCAAAGTTTGTACTATCTGAGATAGGAGGTTTTACAACGGCATTTAAAATGTTGGGACGCGATTTAGTCTTGTAGATGACTGACAACATTTTGGAGAAACTATCGCCTCTATGTTTAATGTACAGCCATGGTACCCATAAGAATTACAGCAAAATCTGTGCAAGTTAATACGAAGGATCCAGCCATCGTTTAACAGATAATGAAAGCACTGTGCTATGGACTTCAGAGTTACAGGAACATGGTTCAGGTACAAATTGTAGTCTTTGAATTATAGCACATATTTCTGTGACATGGTACACGGTTTTCAGAAAAATGACCGTAGAAGCCTCAAGTGCACTTCGTAATTTTGTGGAAAATTGTTCTCCGCTGTACTAGCAGCACATGTCTGTCGCTTATATGACCCTACAAATATCCGATTAAACGTTAACTAAAACGCTAACACATTTCATTACTTAAAATTCATGGATGAAATTTAAACAAATGACAATTTTAATATTCCATGGGTTGATGACAATTAGTCAATTTCAATCAATATTGATTACGTGGTGGGACCGGTGAAAACGGTTACCGGGAGCTGCAGCTGTAATTTCTACTTCATTTGAATTGCAGAGTGGACAGGCGGAAAGTGTCAATTAATGGACATCGGTTTTGCGTGAAGTGCAAGGCTTCTTCCATCGGTGGTAACAAGAATAAGATTATCTTGGTTAAAACTAAAATTACTTTGAAGATTTCTGTCTTCTGGGTTATTGCGCTGTGTAGTCTGGTCGATGTTAACCAACGTTTCAGAGGTCATACT